TTATTATTTATTTAAAAGATGTGTGTGTGACTCATGGATGAATGAGCGCCCGGCAGAGGCCAGAAAACGGTGTTGGATCCCTGGAGCTGGAGTTATAGATGTTGTGAGCCACCCAACATGAGTGCTGGGAACCTAACTCAAGTCATGTTCTTAACTGCTCATCCAACTCTCCAGCCATTCCACACTAGTTTTGAGACAAGGTCTCTTCACTGACTCAGGGCTCTGGTTCAGCTCGACTGGCCAGCAAGCTCCAGGGACCCACAAGTGCTTGTGTCGCAGTTATTTGTGGCTGTCTGGCTTCTCACATGGGTGCTGGGATCTAAGTTCTGATCCTCATGGCTCTCTCCAGGCCTGCTTTCCTGAATGTCAACCTAACTGTCCTTTTTATGAACAAGTTTCTTAATTTTAATGTAGTACAATCGATCATTTCTGTACGCATCCTGTTTAAGAATCCATGCCAAGTTTGAGGTCACAATCCCTGGGTTGTTACCTAGAAGTATTTTCCCCCTTTCCTTTTTGTTTGTTTATTGTTTGAGACAAGGTCATATGGTCCAAGTTGGGCCTCAATTCACTATGTTGCAAGGCTGACTTCGAATCCCACAATCCTCCTTTCTCTATCTCCCAAGTGCTAGGACTATAGGTATGTTTGTTTTTTGGCTTTTTGAGACAGGGTTTCTCTGTGTAGCTTTGGAGCCTTTCCTAGAACTCACTCTGTAGCCCAGGCTGGCCTCAAACTCACAGAGATCCACCTGCCTCTGCCTCCCAAGTGCTGGGATTAAAGGCGTGCGCTGCCGCCGCTGCCCAGGATTACAGGTATGGACCACCACACCTGGCTTAGAAGCCATATTATTTACTTTGATATTTAGATAAAAACAATAACAAAAACCTCAGACATGGCTGCACACCACCAAAATAGCTAACATTGTAGGTGACAGCCAGGTAGAGGCAGGAGGACTGAGTTCAAGGCCAGACTGTACTACAGGGGAGGCAACGAACCAAACAAAACCAGGTGTAGCTCTATCTGCTGAAAACACTGGCTTTGGGCCCCTGTTAGAGACTGTCACCCACTACTACACCTTTCGTTCTTCACTGCATGGGTCCAAACCTTGTTATCCACCTCTGCTTGGCAATGCTGCTGCAGCTCTGACCACTTTGACATCTTTAGTGAAGGGGGATGGCAGAAGGTACCTGCAGGCACACACATGCACCCCTGCCCCCCACCCCCCCCCAGTGCCTGTCCATTCCTGATTTCCTAATAATGAGTACTTGGACTTGGCTGGAAGGGCACTGACTGCAGAGAGAGGGTTTTCTGCAGTACAGGGTACCGACACTGGGTCTCACACACACGCCAAGCAACACTGAGCATGGCCAGCTCAAATGCCCTCCTCCATCACTTACTCTTGTGTGAACCTAAGTCATTTCTGCAGGCTGGGCAGGCTTTGATGTCCCCATCTGTACATGGAGACACCCTCACCATTAGGTGAAGGGGCAGCTGACACAAACAGTGGGAATGAGGCGGAAACTGTGCCATCTTTTGAATATTTTATTCACTTATCTTTTCAATCCTCACTGTTATCTATGGCCAGGTGGTGCCCTTGGATGTATCTGGCCAGTGACTTGTTCTAGACGCTAAGATAATTAGCAGCTAAGAGCTTTCTCAACGCCCCCTGAACGTCTCCTCTCTGCTCCACATGCTCCGAAGGCAGGGGTTCTCAGAGGATGTGAGGAGTAACATGCTAAGGCCACAGAACCACAGGCGGTAATTGGGACTCACCTAACTCATCCTGGACTATCCAGGGTGGTGTAGGGCTATTGCCACCAACTGACAGGCTCTAAGCCATCACCCTAAGAGGCAAGGCCTGTTGGAAGCCCAGGGATTGTCCAAGAATGCATCCAATTCAGAAACACCCAGCTCCCTGCCAGGGGCAGGTGACAAACTAGAACCTGGCAGTGTGGTTGCTCCTCGGAGGCTGGACCCTGACAACTGCTGACTCCCGACTCCTGGTTGCTCCTGATGGGCGGGGGCTTTTTCCATGGGATGTCAAGTATCTGGAAGTACAATTCATTAGACTTACAGTAACATCTGGAATTTTCTAGCCAGCATTCAACACAGCATGCTATTCCACTTCACAAGAGGACAGTTTGAGCCAAGGCTCACCTCCAGTAAGGGTCAGGTCCTGGCTGTGTTGGTGGTGTTTACTGCTTGGAAAGCAGAGGCAACAGAGAAGGTGATCCCTGGTTGCTCTACGGCTGCCCCAGATCTGATTCCAGAGCGAGCACTTCAGATTCTAGAAACCTGCAAGTAGCAGCTCTCCAGGCAGGATCATCCAGGGGGATGGAAGCTCAAAGAAACAGCTTTGAAGGAATGTCATGGGTCCTACTGAGGATATCAGAGGCACACAAGTTGCAAGCCAATTTGAAGAGGATGAAATATTTACAGGATGCAGATTGTGGTGTAGAGCACTCACTGAGCATGTATGAGGCCCCAGGTTCAATCTCTAGCACCTTGCATGCAACACATATGCGCGCACATGCACACACACTCTCTCACATAACTTTCATGCTCTCACATGTAAGCACTCTCTGGAGTTTCCTGCTAAACCTGAGATACAGGTCTCACCCAAAACAGGTAAGTTTCAGAAAGGAAAGCGACAGAAGTAGGCACGAAGTAGAAAATATGGTATTTTCCACACAGAAATAAGTTTCTCCAGACATCAGAAAAATAACCTAAAATAAATGATGCTAATTATACAAAGGTTTTAAAAAATAACATTTATTTATCAATTATGTGCCCGTGTGGAGGTCAGAGGACAATCTATGCATTTCTAACATGTGGGTCCCAGGCACAGAACTCACTCAGGCTGTCAGGCTTGAAAGGTGCATTTATCTGCTGAGCCATCTTGCTGGCCTTACAAAGACTTCCCCAGGGTTTCCAACCTGCTTTCTATTGCATGGACACTGGACACACATGGTTTACACCTCTATATTAGCCATCGGTTCTTTCTAAGCAGCACAGTTTCTAATGAGGGTGTTGCCTGTTTTTCTATATTTGCATCCTTTAGTAGTATTTCCTGTCTTTTGGAGACAGGTCTTCATTCTAGCTTCAGGTTGTCTTGGAACTCACAACGCAGCCCAGGCTGGCTTCAACTTGTGGCAATTCTACTGCCTCAGCCCGAGTGCTAGGACTATGGGTGTATGCCACCATGCCTGGATAGGATCTTTTTTTAAATTTTGGAGTCAGGGTCTTTCTACGTAGCCCTGGCTGTTCTGGAACTATATCAAGCTGGCCTTGAACTCACATCTGCCTGACTCTTCCTCCAGAGTGCTGGGATTAAAAACAAGCACCACCATGCCTGGGTTAGTATCCTTAGGTTTTTTTGTTTGTTTGTTTGTTTTTTGAGACAGGGTTCTCTGTGTAGCCTTGACTGTCCTGGAACTCACTCTGTAGCCCAGGCTGGCCTTGAACTCAGAGATCCACCTGCCTTTGCTTTCTCAGTGCTGGTAATAAAAGGTGTGTGCCACCACTGCCCAGCAGTATCCTTAATTCTTAAAGGCAATTCCAGAAGTGAAAAATTCCTTTAAGACTAGCACCCAGGAGGCAGAGGCAGGTGGATCTTTGAGTACGAGGCCAGCCTGGTCTACACTGGCCTCTGCTTCAGTTCCTGCCTCCAGCTTCCTGTTCTTTGACTTGAGAGTTATAAGGTGAAAGAAATCATTTCCTCCCCACATGAGTTCTGGTGCTTCAATCACAGCAACAAGAACTTAACTAGGGCAGATGGGTACAAGTTCTCAATGTTCACCCGGAGCTGCGAGGTAGCTCACCAGTGAGGCCCTGTGCTCTGCCCAGGGATGAAGTCCGTCAGAACCGTTTGCCGGCCACAGCTGGAAGGGACTTGTCTCTGAACACAATGTAGGTGACCTGCCGCATTCAGACTTGTGATCCTTTTCCTTCTGTGCTAGGACAGAGGCCTGGGCCACTATATCTGGCTTGGAATGAAGAACTGTGAGTAGCTGCCCAAGCCCGGCTATATCACAAATCTTCCCATCTCAAAAATAAACAAAAGTGCTTGGGGGCGGGGGCGGGAGCACATGTCTATGGCTGTCCTTTGATACAGATGAGCCTCACACCTTCCCTTGTTCAGACATGGACAATGTCAGTTTCAAAGGTTAAGGAGACTTGGGAGGGGTGCTGATCTCAGGCCTTGAGAAGCAAAGGCAGAGGGATTATTGCACATTCAAGGCCAGGTTCCTCCACAAACTTAGTCAACACCAAGCCAATCAGGACAGCAGAAGGATATTCTCAATCAACCAAAAACTAAACACTTCCCCCCAAACAACGAACAAATACCAAGAGCAAAACAAAACAGTTAAAGGCAAGACACGCTCGAGCAAGGGAGAGGAACCACGCCCAGAATCCACCTCACTAAGGTGACCCTGGCTGTCCCACTTAGAGCCGGGCGGATGCTGTCACCAACCCTTGCCACCAGCCTCATGAAGCCTAAGGAAAGGCACTATTCTCTGTGTAAAACATTCACAAAGGACAACACACAATGCACCAAAAGTCTGCTTACTATTTCCTAAGATGGTCAGAACACTTGGTCAAACGATCAAGCTAACACGCACATTGCTCAGGACATCCCAGGGACATTGCACACTAAGGATTTTTTGTATGTTTGTTTTTTGCTTATTTTAAATACAAAGCAGCTCTCATTCTGAAGACCCAGAGCAGCTGAGTCAGGCTTTGGGAATGTTCATAGGCTAGGCTTCCTCTCTCCATGGGATCTCTGCATGGATCATCACCAGTGTGCTTGTGTTCATGGTACAGTGAGGTGTCTCAGGCAATGGCACTGGCTCTTTCCCTGTGCAGCCCACAGCTCCTAGCCCCAACACCACCTTCGCTGAGCAGATGATGCTCCAGCAGTCCACGAGGCTGCCTGAAGCCTGGAAATGGCTCAGCCAAAGACTTACACTCACCAGAGTAAAGACTGAAATGCATTCTCTCTAGATTATAAAAGGCTAGAACTGTTTAATGGGAACAACCTGGGACAAGCAGAAAGAGCTCTGGTGGGCAGGATTGGGCAGCACAGGACTAAGAACCACACCTCTCCACAGTCCTGCCCTGAAGGACGCTGACCGGACTCCCCTTCCAAGGCACACATCACAGACTTGCAGCTTCCCATCAGGCTAAGTCATTACTCCTCTAAATTTAAAAATATGCTTTCCTCTTCTCTGTGGTGGAGTGTCCAGCTGTCGTGGCCCTCGTCTAGCACAGGTGCAGAACTGCTTTGTTGATCTCGGGGTTTGTCCAGTCGTTCCGAATGTCATCCAGGTGGTTATCAAAATCCACGAGCGTTTCATAGGAGCGGCTGTCCAGGAGTGATGCCAAGATCCTCTGTGCCTCCGGCCAATCTTCACAGTAGTCGCTGCAGGGCAGACAGGAGAGTCAGTCTCATATCTACCTCAAGACCACACAGGCTGCTGAGGACAGAGCAGCTGCTGGGAAACACGTAAAGATGGACCCAAGACATTTGTGAATGGACAGGTCCCCTCCAAACAGGGCACTGAAGAACAGAGGGGGACATGGCTGAAGAATCCGTGTGATCAGAAAACAAATCACACATGGGAGGAGCATGGTGCCATGGGTCTGTGTGGAGACCAGCAAGTACCACCCTGCTGTGGGATGTTCTGTATGTCCTGTGGGAGCCCGTTCTCGGGTTCCTCGTGGCTTTACCCAGCAGGTCCGCATAGAGGATGATTAGGACCACGGGCCTGAGTGCAGGTGTCTGAGATGGTCTGCACTTGGCTGTGCTGGGGGATGTTCTGTATGTCAAGTTGCTCCGATTGGTCAATAAATAAAACACTGACTGGCCTGTGGCGAGGCAGGAAGTATAGACTAACAGAGAGGAGAAATAAAAGAACAGGAAGGCAGAAGGAGTCACTGCCAGCCGCCACCCTGACAAGCAGCACGAAAAGATGCCGGTAAGCCACGAGCCGTGTGGCAGGGTATAGATTTGTGGAAATGGATTAATTTAAGCTATAATAACAGTTAGCAAGAAGCCTGCCATGGCCATACAGTTTGTAAGCAATATAAGTCTCTGTGTTTACTTGGTTGGGTCTGAGTGGCTGTGGGACTGGCGGGTAACAAAGACTTGTCCTGACTGTGGGCAAGGCAGGAAAACTCTAGCTACACCACCCAGACCCTGTCCTCCACAGAAACCCCACGGTCTAGGCCCTGCACTCACTGGTGTGGATCTCTGCATCTCCACCTGTTCTCATGGTGCTCGTACACATGGATGGTAGGTGCTGCGCAGTCCATCGTGAACTTGGCATTGTCCACCTGGAGAAAAGGTGAGGGTCATGACAAGCATGATGAGTGCTGACAAGAGAGAGCAGTGACTTCCTGGGCTCCTATCAGAGCAGCATCAACAGCAGACAGGCTCATCAAGGGAACTCTGTGCTGCACAGGGTGAATGGGAGGCACTTCCCCCACTTTCCACAAAGGCAGAGCAGAACGCTCAAACCGGATCCCTCCCCACTCAAGACTGTGTACTCAGACTATGCAGGCTAATCCCTGACCCTAGGCTACACTGGCTTTTCCCAGGGGTCCCTGTTTTTGCTGGGCCACCACCAGATGTTTGGGTTCAGTGAGGTTGGGGAGCAGGCCAGGCCTGCTGGAGTTGAAGGCCCCCACCCCGTGCGTGCCTGCAGTAGTGCTCAGGCCATCACTGTGATGTGGGACGGCCCCAGGAGGGAAGCAGCTCACACAGCGGCAGGAGTGAAACTCACCATGATGAGTGCGGTGTCGCTGAAGCCCTCGGCGATCCTGGAGGCCACCTTCTCTGCCACCTGGTTTGGGCTGTAGAGAGACCTATGAGCTCTACCACACTCCAGCCGAGCCACCAAACGGTCCCCTCTGTCAGCACAATTCACCAACACCCAAACTAACCAGCAGCACTGGAGCCAGCGGACTGCTGGGCCAGTGAGATGACTTGGGGGCCATGAATGCCACTGGGGCCGTGTGGCACACTGCCAGAGTGGGCCGGGCCTCACTCCTCCAGCAAGCCCTTGTAGAGGGGACGTGGGGCATCTCTGAAAGGGTAGAACTTTCCTCCTTCTGAGGCTCAATGGAGTGTTGCCTAGGGTAGGTTGATGACCTGCTGGGCCGCAGACTGCACTAAATGTGAGTCTCTGGGGCCTGTACTCGCCACATGCCTGCTACTCAGGTGGCTTGTCCACAGCAACTAGTCACAGGAGGTTTAGGGCCCTGGCAACCAAATCCTCTTTTTAAACCAAGCCACTTTTAGGACTCTAAGCCATTTCAAATCTTCTCTATCCTAGGAGCTTTAACCACTGACACTTGTATCTCATGTTGAAAAGCTTCTCTAGCCATGCTGCTGGGTAGGTCTGCAACTCTTGCTGCTGTAGCCTGCCTCTTCCTTCAGGGCCCTCATAGGGAGCCTGAAGGGCCCACTTGGCTCTGTACAGAGATAGCTGTGTGGCATCCACAGCCTTCTCCACAGCAGCTTTTGTATAGGGTGGACAAGCTCTTGTCATCCACCCAGAGGCAGAATCAAGGGCCAGAAGGCACAGAGAACAAGAGATGGCAGGAGAAACGGAGGACCTGAGCACACACAGGGCTTCCACGGGGTCTGGGTGGTACTAGAAGGTGTCCTGACAGACTCAATGAGCCCAGCATCTAGCTGGCTGTCAACTTAGTAAGAGTCCCTGGCTGGCTGGAGGCCTCCAAGGATAAGGTGGGAATATCTTTTGAATACTCCTAAGCCTCATCAGTGATGGTAGTGCAGGTTCTCCAGCTCACGGTTTTATTTCTAAGAAGAGCCCATGGGCCACCCCATCATCCACACTGCATAAGCACATTGGGGTCTGTTGGCTTCATGTGACCACACAAGAAACCCCAGTACTTACTGTGTGGGCATTTTCCAGCTGTCCCCTGGCTTCTAGCTGGCTGCAGCCAAAGGAAGCCTCTGGAGGACAGCAGAGGGTATGGAAGAGGGGCATCAGTACCGACTGATCTGGGTCTCCCTTTCCTGATGTGGGACCTATCAGGCTGGCTGCTGGCCATGTCCTGTAGCCAAAGGATGTTGCTCCTCTGGAGGTGGCCTTCTTTACCAGCTCTTCCTCGCTGGCCCTGGAGGGCTGAGGGATGGAGGCTGCTGTCACTGGCTTGGTCCTTGTACACAGCTCCTGAATTCTATCTACGGCCCACCCCTTTAGGAGTAGTTCACCTGTGAGCTCCTTAGGTCGCTCTGACTGAAGGTATACTTGGCTAGGCTCTTGGGACCCAGTCTGAAGCAGACAGTCAACTTATCTTTCTCGAGAGAGAGCTGAGGTGGTGGCATCTTGGGTGGAGAAACCTGGAGCCAATTCAGGTGCCAAAGACTACACTTTTACCATAGGCCCCATCCTAACAACTCCAAACTCCAAACCACTTTACTTACACAAAAGAGCAACTCTGCTCCCACAGCATCTTGTTTTGGAGTGAGAGGAAGCAGGCTAGTGGACACAGGCAGACCTGGCAGCTGGTCCCCCTCTTTGAGTTCCCTCCCCACACAACAGACGAGCCATGGATGAGAAATCCTGGCTACTCATCTGGCCAGTTGCCTGTACATCTGATAAGCAGAGGTGGAGGATGGGGCTTGCACAGGCTTTGAAGCCTGCAGAGAGAGAGAGAGGGTCAAGAGCACCTCAGTGACGGCTCTGTAGCTTCTAACCCACCATCCAGCTGTCCCACCCGTACCTGGCATCCTTCACACGCTCGTTAGCTTGATAATAGCCGGCGATCACATAGCTGTTCTCTTTGCACCACGAGTCAATCTGAAAGGAACAGATGGGAAAGACGACCTCAGCGCCAGGCCTCAGTGCTGTACAGCCACACCACACACGGGGCAAGCCACACTACAGACAGACAGTCCTTGCATTCTCCCTGCCTACAATGAAAGGAGAGCTCACAGAGGTCAGGGAAACGCCCAAGGGCAGGGCCCAGAAGCAGGGTCCTCCCAGACAGGCTGTACTGGGTTCAGTAGCTGAAGTCCTTGGCGGCTGACACCACACAGAGGCAGTGCTGTGTGGATCTGAGAGGAAGCTTCTGGACTCATTCCTTATTCTTTAAAGCACACAGCATGCTGGGTGCTGCTGTTAAGACCAGCTTTCAGCAGCTCAGGGAAACTGGAAAGGAGGTGTGGCATCGGCAGAGCTACAGACACACAAACACTTTGAGGGCCAAAGCTCAATTCTTCATTTTATTTCTTTCTGTTGGTTGGTGTTCTTCTTTCCAGTTGTCTCCCTTTCTACGTTTCCCTTATCTTATCCTTTTACTTCTTCTCTGATGGTTCCCTTTACATCTTTCCTCCTCCTATCCCTTTTATACTTCCTAACACAAAGATTTTTACACAAGAGAAGATTACCTCGGAACTAGAATAAATCATCCTGAGTGAGGTAACTCAAACCCAGAAAGACAGTCATGGTATGTACTCACTCATAGGTGGATTCTAGATATAAAATAAAGGACAATTAGACCACAACCCATAGAACCATGGAGGCTATATATATCTCATGGAGGTCCCTAGGACGACTGTGGCTTATAATAAATTTCGGTTTTACTCAATTATTGAAA